CGGCGGCCGCTGGTCCTCCCCGGGGGCCCTCCCGGGTTCGCCAGGGGGGGGGCTTCCAGCCCCCCCCCCCCCCCCCGGAAACGCAGGCTGGGATGCTCGCCTTCGGCGTTGTGTGAGGTCCTACCCAAAGTTGTCACTCAGTACACGGTGACAGCCAGAGTCAGATGTCTTATTATCTGTGGATAAGACAGTAACAAGGGCTTCAGTTTCAGCCAAAATTGTGTTATTATAATGGTAATAGTAACGACAGCTGTTTACATAGAAATTAGCAGCTTATAAGGTGTTATTACTTATCTCTTTTATGATTCTGTAAGATACATCTCTGTTTAACAGGCCCGTCTCCAAGAGTTCGTGACCCATCTGAGGTTATTCATCCAACAAGTGACAGTCTCTGGACAGGCCTTCTAATGCCTTCCAAGAGAGCCAAGAGCCACTTCTTTTTAACCTACACATTGAGATAATTGAATAACGTCCCCCAATTAATTATTTAGGGACAGTGCATCCTTAGCATCCCAAACTATGCCAGGTACCTATTAGAGGTCAATAAATAAATGAATGCTTGTTAGTGCATCACAAGTAAAGTGTTGTGCCAGACTAGTCTAGGAGATAGCAAGAGTATGTCTTGGCCTCAAGGAATTTGTAGTCTGATTCAGGAAATATGCTAAATATGCTAAATAAGGTATGAATGATAACATCATGTACAAGAAATGACTTCATATTCGAATGCTGACTAAATAACATAAGAAGCATCGTAAGCTGAACATGGCATAGACAATGGCTATAGGGATTCGACTGAATTTAGACAAGGATTTGTCACAGAGCTTCACATGAGGCAAATTACTGTAGACTGGGTTATTCACGAGAACTTGTGGGAGGAGGGATCTGAGCTGGGTCTGAGGATGGGGGCACTTCAGAGAGGCTGGGATTCTTTGGTTCATTTACTCAAATGTGTCAGATGCTGTTCATGTGCTGGGGGCAGACAAACAATGAAACCATGTGGACCTGTGTGGACCCTGCCATGTGAATCTGTCCATGTGGACCTGCCATGGGGACTCACCTGTGTGGACCCTGCCTATGTGGACTCACTCCTGTGGGCCTGCCCATGTGGGCCTTCCGTGGGGACCCTATCCATGTAGATCCACCTATGAACCTGCCTGTGTGGATGTGCCGTGGGGACTCACCTTCTAGGGTAAAGACAGACAAGAAAGTGAGAAGGAAAGATTATTTCACATGGTGAAAAGTGCTATGATGAAAATAAAGAAGATGGAGTATAGACATTAAATGGAGGTGCATGGGGATTTTAGGTAAAGACCAGAGAAGGCCTTTCTGAGGAAGTACTATATGAGCAGAAAATGTGGGAGCCATTGCACAGAGCAGGAAAGCCTGAGGCTACAGTGTTTGAGGGGTACTCAGTTACATGGGTCCATTAAAGACTTTCACTACTAGGGAAGTCACTCAGAATTCCAGCTGGTGGGCACACAGATTTGATACTGAGATGGATCATATGTTGTGATCTGGGCATTATTTCACTTAATCCTCACAATTATTCCACAGCTAAGTTTCCCCCTACATTTTGTTGATAAGAAAGTTGAGACACACAGCTGTTAGGTAACCATTCTAAGGTTGTTGCACAGCTTATAACCGGCAGAACAGGGCTTATACTGGATATGTCCATCTGTAAGCCAATATTCTGAACACTGAGCTATGGTATGAATTTATGGGAAGCAGGGGAATAATTTCAAGTTTGAACAGAAGAAGGAGAAAGGAGATCCAAGGGGAGGTGGTGGTGTAGAAAGACTATCAGGACACATTCTCAGAGAAGGAGGGACGAAGCCAGCTCATAGGTGGTTTTGAGCGACAAACAAAGGAGTTGAGACTGTACATATTTATAGTGTGATGGTAGGAAAATGGCTTTGAAAGAAGTACTTTAGAAAGATAGCAGCTGGTCTACATAACCCTTAAAGTATTCTCTGACATGACCCTAAAATTAATTAGGCAGCACTGACTAGGATGCTCTAGAGGGAGAAGTGAATAGAGAGAATATAGAATATTGTATCTGTGGGAACATGCAATAGGTCTGGCTTGAAATGAGGACACAAACTCAGTACATGGCAGTGTGTAAGAAAAGGATATGACAGATGTGGAAAGCATTTGTTTGGAAGGAATAAAAAGAGACAGAATTGGGTGATGTATTGGGACCAAAGAAGAGTAAGTGGTTAGGGTGTCTCTGGGGTCTTGTGCCTAGTGACAGGGAAATGATGGTATCATTGACAAAGCAGAAAGTCAGGAGTGGTATGGGAGGAAGAGGGTAAGTTTGGTCCAGGACATGTTGAGTTTGAGATACTGACAAGACACAGGATGTGAGGCTGGAGCTGTAAGCATAGAATCCTTGAAAACTGAGGTAAACATATAGTAATAAGCCAAACAGAGGTGAACAAAATCCTTGGGAATAGATGTGGTCCCACCTAAACAGTGAAAATTATTGAGAGAACACAGACCTAGTCTGGCATGTTCATTGGAGCAAACTCAGTGTGAAAAAAAGGGACTGGGACATTGAAAACACTCAATAAATATGTGCTAAGTGAGTGAGTGAGTGAATGAATGAATGGGCAACACTGAAAGTCAAGAGTTGAGTTGAGGGAGAAATTGAGCAGTTCAGAAGAGGTTGAGTTCCAAATGAAGAGGGCAAAAGTGATGAAGTCAGAGAAATTAGTCAAGATTTGGACTAGACAGTCTTTAAGTCTGTTTTAAGGTAACAAGTTCTAGAAATCCAGGTGGAGGGGAGCCACAACAGGGCAGAGTTTCAGAAGCTAAAGGATGTCATCTAGATCAGGTTAGTCACACGGGACTTCCCTCCCATTGCAAGATCCA